TTCCCTGGCAACAAATGTGCCTGATGTGACTAATACTAAAAATCGTCCATGAAAGACGTACCTGTGTTGTAGACTGTATTTGTAGGTTACATCAGTGCTATTATGTGCAGCCACTATCCAAACTAGCGAGCTTGAGCTGATAAATTAGGAGCGCGTTCTCCTAAATACGGTAACCTCTGGCTACAAAAGACAAAAAACAAGAGCTATAATCCAAGTTTGAAGGCAACAAAACGGGAGTTCACAGCACAGTTGGCGTTCATCTTTTATACACTAATAGTAACACATAAAGTTAGAGCTACTGTTCTTACTAAAGTCTCGCTGATATATCAGGAAATATGAGCAATCTGCTGATCTGCATTCATAATGGCTGACAAATGAAAATCTAAAAAGTAAACAAGAGACGGGAGAAACAGCCTTCAACCATGTTAAGAGTGTTAAAGTTGCACCGTTTGTCCAACAGAGGGCACTCTGAAATTTCCCCGTTGGTAACACAGATGTTTGGAATGGCAAAAAACAAAAACCAGCTAATCTGAGCAGCCAGTTAATCCAGAACGGTAATAAAGTCAGATCATTTTAAACGGCGCCGTCATGTTATTTTAGCAAGAACTCACAAACGAATACACATAACAAATGTTAGGGGGATCTGTTTACGGAGCTTCTGATACCGACTTGTATGGAAAGACTTGTCATTGTCCGAGCATTAGATAAATGTGGATAGCACCACATTTGGGAAGATGACGCGCCCCTCCCTGAGTGTGGGCTGAAAACAAACGGCCATCCATCCTTGTAGATGCTTCAGTGGCAGATATGGATGTGGATGTATATGAATGGTTGCTTTGTAATTTATACCTACATTATGTCCAATATATGGAATATGTTTCTATGTCGAGCCTGATTTAGAGCACGAGCCAAAACAAGTAAAGAAGTAATGAAGAAATTTTTTTATTCTTCAGTGTTGCTTAAGTTTTGACCTCATAAAGTTGAGAAGTTAGACCTTATAAATGATTCAATATTAGATTATTTTTCTGTCAATTATTTGATCGATAGCTGAGGTAGTTATTTAAGCATTGCAGAGATGGATGGTAGGAACAGCAGAGTGCAGCCAGAAGCCTTTAAGGAAATAAACTGAGGAGAAACTCATTTAGATGCTGTGTGGAAGCAAACTGCTACAGCATCTCAGACAAGTTACGATCACTTGGGAAACCTTGGTAAATGGCAAAGGAACCAAGGTCAGACACAAATGCCTGGAACGCACTCGTTTGAAACATTTCATGAGGTGAAAATCGTTACTTCATGTTCCAAAGCAGTTTTGATACATTTAAAAGAAATACACACACTAGTTCCTCTGCCCGTGGGCAAGTACCTTTGGCCTTATTAGTGTGTAATTGATCACACCTATGTATGGGCATGCTCAGTCTGAATGTGTGATTTGTCAGTTGTGGCAGCAGTTTGTTTGTTCATCTCCATCTTAAGATGAGAACAGTAAAGTTCAGTGTGGCCGGGCAGTTTAATCAGGACCTCCGCCTCCCTCTCTAGAAGCTTTGAGACGTCAGAATTTAACTCTCTGGGATGTTTCTGGGTCAGCAGTGGGAGTGCAAGAATCCACAAGGCAAAGCGTGCTGAGCTATGAAATGGCACTTTCTAATCTTAATCTTAAGGCCTTCTGTGTATGTGTGTTGATCCAGCTCGCAAGCCCAAAGCCATTTCTGTCACTGTTCTCTTCCCCCACTACAGCCACTCAAACTGGATGACTGATGTCTGATGCTGGATGTGCTTTGCACTTTTTTCCTCTCCAAGACCACAGGCATGTGTTGATCTCCTTAATTTGTCAGTGACCCGTGAGTCATTCCACTGATTATCCTTTCCACCCAAGGGAATTCAGAAATTACTGTTAATACAAAATGAAAAGAGGCCTATTATTCTTTTGCCTCATTTTCAGTCACTATTATAGTGATGGATGCTCATATCAAACATGGCCAAAGTTTCAGATCACGTGTATGTATAAGTAATCCCTGTGAGCCAAAAGCTCAGGGTTCAGATTGCTCTAAATATTCTCTTTCAGGCGCTCAGCACCAGCTGTCAGAACAATGTTGGTTTAAAGGTGGGTGGAGCGAGTGTAAACAGCTTGTTTCAGACAGTAGGACTAAGGGACTTCACCAAGTCCTAGTCTAATGCAAAGAAGGATTATTCTGAGCTGTCAATCCTGAATAGCTACTTTAGCAAAGTCGGATGGAAAGCAGAATAACAAGTCCCAGTTAGAGATGTATTTTTGCAGCAAGCTTCAAGGTACTCTAGCATCCTTGTACACAGCAGAAACAGTAACTGATATAGCATGGGCGGACAGACTGAGGGTGTGGTTGTTGCAACCTACAGGTGGAAGAAATGTGCTCTTAAACTGAGGTCTGTGGGTTAGTGCTGTGTATTGATTTAAAATCAATCACCAGTGTACCCATACACTGTTCATAATTCATTAGCTTACACCAGACTGTTGCTCTATTTCTATTGTTATTTTGCATCTATATTTTAAAAGTGAATAAATATATGAGCGATCACACTGACCATAGCTACAGTGTTTTCTCTGTGCTCATCTTCTCTTACATTCTGCAAGCTTACCCATAAGACTATAGCTGAAAAGAGGCCACATGAAGTTTGGAGGTTCGTAACGATTTACTCTGCAGAAATTTAGCAACTTCACTATGGTGAGGATTGCAGTGAGCAGTGTGAAAGTACTGGAGTGATGTGAAATGTAATTTAAATGTATAAAAAAAGCATATTTTTATTCCTGTGCAAGCAGATTTCATGGGAGACATAATGTCACTGGATGACACTCACCTGTGCCACAGCCACTTGTGTCTGCTGTTGTTGCTGCTGGAGCTGTTGCTGGAGCAGTTGGATCTGGTGGTGCACAGACAACGGGGTGCTGGGTGGCAGTATGCCTGATGCTGGGAGCAGCATCTTGGGGCTGGACACCAGCAGGGAAGCCTCCTCTGAAGGCTGCTACCAAAGGGAAAAGGAGGAAATGAGGTCAGCATGATGAGGCTTCAAACAGAAAATCCTCCACATTTACGGGTGGAAGAGCCTTCAAATGAATCACTGTGGACCAAAAAGACAAAAATAAATGATACATAAGTCCATGCATCCGTCTATCCATCCATCTCAGCCCCTCCTGAATGGCATTTTTTCAAAAATCAAAGTATGTTTGTTTTAATATAACAAGAAATTGGTTGTAAAAGTTGAAAATAGTTCAAGTCAACAAATAATTTGTCATGGATTCTGACAGAATATCAAGTCCTGAAACATATTTCCAGCAACCGTCAGTGTACTAATGGCACATTGTGCTACCTAATGCGAGTGTATCATATATCATCCAAAGTGTCAAAAAAGGGAAGATGTCATACATCTTCGCCTTGCTCATGCGGGCACTATTTAACAAAGCTGCTAGTTGACAGTCTGCGAGGTCCCTGTTGGACACGCTGTCTGTTCCAGTAGTCAGTCTGTGGTGTTTTGTGAAGGGAGCAGTAAGTAAGTACATTACTTATTTACACCGCCTTTCAAAATACAAAACACAACCATAACAAAAAGACATAGAATGCTTTTGAAATATCAGTCTAAGAAGACAGTTTTAAATCTGTTATTTACAGCAGTTTTGTGCATGGCGCTGCCTTCACGTCTTATTAGTACGGTTAGCTGTAATCAACTGATTTTACTTTGTGATGCGGAGTAAACTGTTGGAGTGATCTACAGCTTTTGAGGATTGGACATTAAATTGTTATTGCACTAAAGAACAAGAGCGTTGTAGTGACATGCAAACTACGTCTAGAACAGAAACAATTGCTAACACAACTTTAGCTCTCTTTGGCACTTGCACAACCAGCATGCTAACACAAAGCTAGCCAAGAACCCAGAATGCTGTTTAGATGAGTGAATGCTGACCCCAGCCCAGACAATACCAAGACCAGAGGGTATCGAGACCAAGACAAGACCAAGACAGACCGAGTCAAGACCAAGACCAAGTTGAGACGAGACCAAGACCGAGACAAAAAAGTCTTCAAACTGCAGCCAGATACTGCTTCGTCTACGGGTGTCAGGCATATTTATGTGTTTTTGCAATGCACTCGCACAGCCCTCCTCACCACTGTCTACTGTCTCACTCACTTACTGAGAGGACAGACGCACGCTCCACTTGACTGTCGCGTCTCTCACCCTCTCTGTTTTTCACATATGGATATTATCCATATTATCCTGTATCCTCGCATGTGATTGGCCACAATATGGAGGGATTGGAGCATAGCTGAGCCACTGTGTGAGAGCTGAGCAGCGAAAGGAAATTAAGTGAGGAGCCGGCTCTGGCTCAATGGGAGTCGACTCTTCTGATTCACTACAAAGCACTCTCTAAGCACGGCTCTCTTATCGAATGTTACGTTGTGTGTCGTAGATACTGTTGACTCCAAATCTCCCGACCACTATGTCGATCTGAGACAGCAGGACCGAGACAGTGAGACCAAGACAAGACCGAGGGATCCGAGACCAAGACAAGACCAAGACCACGTAAAAGTGGTCTCGAGACCAAGACCGATCTTGAGACATCCAACTCTAACTTGCAGCACTATAACTTCCATTTTCACCTATCCATGTTTCTACAGTAGTGAGTAACGTCCCCAACACTGCTAATAAGTAGTACAGGACATATAAAATGACCCAGATATTTAAGAAATACATAATTTGATAAAACATAATATTTCATGTGCACGATAAAAAGTAAAATGAATATCAGAGCTTGTGTTTTGCTTCACATGTTGCAGGTGTATCTGTTAAAATTGCACACTCACGCTCGTTTTAACCATGTACTACTTCAAACACTTTTTGGAACTTGCTCATGAGAAGCCGATGATGCAAATAAAAAGTAAAATAAAGAGAAAGAAAAGAAAAGAAAAGGCTTTGCTAATGAATAAATAAATACAATCAGGACAAGCAATAGTGTCAATAAAATGCCTTGGAGAACAAGCCGTCATCAAAACAACAATCTGAATTTAAAATGTAGAGTTGCTGATTAGTTGCACCAGTGTGGAATGAGTGGTGCTGCCCTGGAATGCAGATCAGTAGCACTGAAATGCTCCACTCCAACAATAATGAGCTTTGGGAATCAGTTCTCCTTCATCTAACGCCATGAAGCATCGTATAATAGTTTCTAGGCTTTAGTTACCGGTCACACTTCGTGGCCTTTCCGTCATTCAACTTGTCAAAATATATATATTTCTGTAATACAATGGCCAAATAAAATATCTCATAATCCATGCTAATGATGACATCCAAGCAGACACAACATGGAAATACATTTAAAACACGTGCTGTTTTGAAAAATACACAGACATATTCTCTTTTCCTTCAGCAGATAGGAAGATAAATGCAGGTATTAAATCCCCTCTTGAAGTGGTCCTTAAAAACAGAGTATTACACGTTGGTATAGAGGAATAAAAAAAAAAAACAATCACTCTCAGACCAACACGGAGACCTTGAGATTACAGCGTACATGTTTTCCTCCAAAGGCATTTACCAAACAGACTGATACAGGCTGAAGGCCATGTAGTGCCCCAACATTAAGTGCTTTGCTGTGATGGACCAGTCATGGCTGTAGTGAGAAGGGTCTAACAGCGAGCTCACATAAATTCGGAAATCTCGGGGCCTAATAAATGAAGCCAAGTGCCAAAAACTGCAGTTCAAGTGAGTCAAATTGATTATTTTAAAACACCTAAATGCTGTCGCGACTTTAAGTTAGGAGCGTGGCTGCTTTGACTGATCTGTGTAACAGCACACGCTGTGTAGATGGCCTCTTTTAATTGAAGTTACTGAACTCCACCTGTCTTGAAAGTTACTGTTTCACTGAGTTTGTGTAGTTGGAGGAATTTTAAATGGGTGGATATATATTATGGCTTAAAAGCCTGCAATCTAGTTTTAGTGACCGGAAAGTTTGTATTTATCAATAAGCCTCTCATCACTGTGTCATCTGTGGCTACAACTTAGTGACCAAACTTTCATGCCGATAAAGCAGCCCTCCAAGCAGTTACACCTGGCTCCAAGAATGAGCTGGTGGTGGCCATCAGCCCAAAGTGGATGCTTTAAAATGTGAAACCACTGGGTGGTATCGCTTCCACTGCCACCTGTCTTACCTCCTAATGTGGACATTGTCGCCCTTAAAAATGGACTAGTTTGCACAACTAGTATATCATAGCAGCAACACCACAGACCACCTTGTGCATACACCTGTGATGCTACCAGTTTCTGACAAAACTGCGATATTTAATGGCAACGATGTGTAACAGTGTTGGACAGCCAGCCAGATATATGTGGATATCAAAAGCTTTTGAATAGAGCTGCTGTGTATTTGAGGGCAAAGTGTTTCATAATGTATCGAATGCTATTGGACGGTAGGGGCGACTGGCGATCAGAAACCTGATAAAATTGAACCTTAACCTGCCTTAAGGAATCTACGCCAAAATACTTCACCATCTGTCTCTCATGCCTTCTGGTGACACCAAGAGCAGACGCACTCTGCATGAGAGAAAAATGTGACTGATGGCCTGCCTGACACGGACCTTTTAACGAGAGGAAATTATCCAGGTTGACAGGTTGTTTGGCTCCATCATGATTTGAATAATAAGACAGAAGTCTCCAGAATGGGTGAGTGTGTGTGTGTGTATAAATGTGAGATAAGAGAGAATTTGTTGGGGATGACTTCTCAGTAACAAGCAGGATTCCGATAAACGTGTTTTCTCTAAAGTGCCTCTTTTTAACACACACTTCCTTCACCTTTATTCCATTGGAGTTACTACGAGATATGTAAAACAACTGCTCAGCTGCTAAGTAAAGGACGGTAAGCAGGATTATTGCGGTAGCTTTGAAGCTGGGTTGTCAACCAGAGAAGGTTTAGCAAGTGGAAGCGTGAATAAGATAATTCAGCACTTAAAGCAACACAGAGGAAAGAGGATGGCATGTTTGGCTTACGAGTACTGTGGACACAGGAACTATTCCCAATTATAGAGAAACAGAAGGAGAAGACAGACATAAATAGACTGTCAGCTGGCGCAGAAGAAGACATAACACAGATGGAAAGAAATCCCATTCCAAAAGTACACTGATTTAGTCATCTGCAACATTTTCCCATCTGATAAACTGTTTACTACCAGTGATGTTTCCCATCACTTATCACAATGATTGTCTATGCCATAACTGCATATTATAAAAGCCATTATACTGCTTTTGCAAAATCCATTGTCAACATCCAAAGAATGTGTCACGGAGGACTGGAGCTGTTCTAGCACCTAATAAGCAGTTTTGAGGAAGCACATAGGAAATTTTAGCCTCTTTGGGATGTGGGTAGTTCAAGAGTTGTCATTTTCCCCCTCATATAACATCAATGGTGAACAAAAGAGCTAAGGCAGGCCAAATATATGGTACCATACTAGACGCAAACAGCAGCTTACTATGCATCCTGTATTTTAACTTTGGAAGTAAAAGTTTCTAGGAAGAGACTACCTCCTATGCAGACCAAACACATGAAGTTTGTCAGGTGCACTAACCATAAATTATAGGATGTAGTCACAGACTGTATATAAAAAAATAGACGGTTTGTACCTTTAGCCCTAAGGTCACAGTTACAACTCTGGCTGCATAGAAGCATAGAATCAGTTTATGGTGCTTATTTGAGTCAGAGGAGGATAACGCACACAATGATTTGTCTTGTGACTGTTGAGTTGACTTGATGTATGCTTACTGTATTCTAATAATATACGTTTTAAAATATATATTTTTGAAAGCAGAATAAAAAAAACCTGTGCAACAAATACACAGCATATCGACAAAAGCAGTGGGCCACCTACAGGAGCTGTGCAGCCTTGGAAACCCAGGCCATGAAGCTCCCAGCACACAGCTCTTTTGCTGATGTTAACTTCAGAGGAGGTCTGAATCTCTGCATTCCCGTATACTGTAAATCATAGGAA